TGAGTACAACTGAGAGTTGACAGCTTGTTCTTCCGGAAGGCAGTAAGTGGGGCTGATCTATGCAAAATGATCCTGACAATAAATCTGGTGATAGCTTCAAATGGTCATCATATCTAATGTTCTAGATAATGTTCTTTTGTGGGCAAAGAACAGTAGCCACTTAGACTAACTAAAGTGAAAAGGGGATGAAAGAACTTGAGATTTTTATAACAGGAGATCTCTTGTACATTTAAATGTAGTTCATGGGCCAGAAGCCAAGGACTTTCTTAGGATCTGAGGCTGCTTCATCTCAGGTTTTCCTCTTATGGCTGCCTCATTCTCTTTCTCTCAATTCATCTACTCTGCTTTTTCATCTCAGACATGATTAAAATGTGGCCTCCATGATCACTTCCTTGATATCCAAATCTTTTATTTCTGACATAAGTTATTGAATAACTACACTCGCTCTGTTTCCAGGCTAAATGCTGAAGAGAATTATTTAGTAGCTTGCAGGCCATTCATTTGAACGGTTTATGTTGCATACCAACTCCTGTCCAATCAACCATCACTCCTAAACAGCAACAGAGGTATCTGCCTGCTTTGGGAGCTCTGGGCAGAGCACTGTAAGTCAAAAGAAGAAACAGGCTAGGGGGCCAGTGCTGCTATAACAGAAAAAGTCACCACTTGCGATGCCAGCATCCCATATGAGCACCAGTTTGAGTCCCAGATGCTCTACTTCCAGTCCAGCTCCATGCTAATAAGCAGTGGAACATGGCCCAAGTACTTGGGCCCCTGCACCCATGTGGGAGACCTGGAAGAAGCTTCTGGTTCCTGGCTCCTGGCTTCAGATTGGCCCAGCTCTGGTCATCGCAGCCATTTGGAGAGTGAACTAGTAGATGGAAGATCTCCTTCTCTCTCTCTCTCCACCCCCCACCCCCAATTCTGCATTTCAAATAAATAAATCTTTACAAAAAGAAGGAAGAAGGGAGGAGAAGAAGAAAGGAAGGGAGGGAGGAAGGAAAGAAGGAAGGAAGAGAGGGAGGGAGGAAGAGGCTAATATGTTTCATGCTCTATACAATCATTAGACTGGTGGCAAGGAACATCTGATATGTTCTAAATATGTCCAAGAATCCTCTTGGAAAGATTTATACAAACTTTATTTTAAAAAGAGAGACAGAGAGAGAGCTGTGCTATCCTGAAAAGCATTGGTTGTAAACTGGTTTTTTTACTCTATCACCTCTTAAAATCTCTGAGCTTCAGTTTTCTACTTATAGAACAAAGATGATCATGTCTACCTGTTGGGGTTGTTTGGAACATAAATGATATCATCTAGATATCGATTCTCTGCCTGGCACAAAAAAAAAAGAGCTTAGTACACAGGATTTCTTTGATATGTAATGAATAGTTCATATCAGAAAATTATTTGCAATGTAATTTTAATTGTGCAAATAATATATGAATATATCAATATTTCAATGCAAATCCTAGATGTATTACTTCACTGGCAAATATTTTAGCATGTCTTTAATAAAGTATCTTAAGGAACATATAACCACAATATCATTATCATAGACAATATATTAATTCCTTGATATTACCAATTTTCTTCAACAGTCTTGAAAAAATTTTTTATGGTTGTTGGAGTTAGATGAAAAATTCTAAAGGGGTCCACATATTTCATTGGGTTTATATATCTTATACATCTCAGACTGTAACTGTTCTTCCTTGTTATTCTGTGCGTATTTGTTGAAAAAAATAGAGTCATAATTCCTGTAGAATTTCTAATTTAGAATATGGCGGGTTGCGTCCTCAAAGCATCATATAACTGGTTCCTCTATCCTCACATTTTCTGAAAACTGGTACATAAATCTAGAAGCTTAATTAGATTTACATTCAAATAATTTTTTAGTGAAACTAAAGAAGAAATGTTCCTATACTATTTCCTATGTTTTAAAAGCTGTGAATTTGGAATAGTTCCCATAGCATTTTGCACACAGGAACACAAGATTCCCTAAAAGGATGGAGGTAAGCCATTCACTCCAGTTTTTGACTCATACATGAGGGAATCATCTTTATTCAGAGATTCTGTGGTACTTATAACTGTTATCTGCCAAAAAATACAGATAGAAGTCATAATTACTATTTTATCTCTAATAAATTTATTAGCAGTATGTTTAGCTATATGCATCCTTTGTGGAGGGTGTTCACATATATCAATTAAGAATATAAATTTGTTGCCTTCATTCTAAGCTAGTATTAAAAATGTTTGAAATGGCTAATGAATAGAGAAAAAATTAGGGGAAAATATAACTTTCTTTAAAATTTTTATTTTTTATAATTGCTTAAAATGAAAGCAAACCTGAGTACATTGAAGCAGGACTGTGGTGTTTTTCAAGAGTGTTAGGGTTTGGGTGTGTTCAATAAACGATAGCCTTGTGCTCCTTACCTGAGTTGAGAACAGAGAGTCTGTGACAAAAATCAGATAATGGCAAAAACAATTGCTCTCAGGTCCACTTCCGCCTTCAAGCTGTGGTCGTGCTCTCTCCTGTGCAGTTCCTGCCCACTGAGTGAGCCAGGGAAGAACTGAAGTCACACTATTCTTGGGGCAGCCCTGGCCAATGACTAAGCAAGGTGGTGGGACAAGTGGCTGATTATGTCCATCCAGGGCAGGGCTCTCCCACTGGTCAATCTTTGATCCCAGGCTTCCCACTGGGCTGGTGTAAAGTGACCAGCCGTCCTACTTTGCTGAGAGTGAGGGTTTTCCTGAGATACAAGGCTTTCAGTGCTAAAACTAGAAAATTTCTAGGCAAACTAGGGTGGTTTGGTAACCCAAGCTATTGTATAGCTCGGCAAGTCTGCCTGGAGGCCAGAGAGCTTACTCTGGCTTATCCTGCTTCCTTGCCTTTTTTCCTTTCACAAGCATTACTTCGGACTTCATCTCAGTGTCTGCTTCCCAGAGCCCACAACCCAAGACAGGGGCATGAACAGTTCATAAACCAAGAAAGACCCTAAGTCTTCAAGAGAAGACAAGACTGAAAGAATGTCGCAGGGTAAGGGAAAGATTAATTTGACAATTATAGGGAACCTCCTGGGTATAACTTTTCAGTGGGCCACTCATTTTGCATTCTTTGAAAGAGAGAAGAGGCATATTTAAAATACTCAATGACTTAGGATCCTTATACCATATTTTTTTAAAAAAATTCTTTAATTTTTAGATTAACATGAAATACTTGCATATTTTTCTGGGTTACAGTACAATAGTTCAAAGATATAGGACATTAACCAATCATATCAGGCAATTAGCCCTTCCATTTCCTTGACTGTGGGCCCTGGTTACCCTGCTATTCTGTGGAACACCAGAACCAATTACCTTCACCCAGGTGTTTTGGCTCCCACTATCCAACCTCCCTCATCTCCTCACCCTTCCTAGCCTCTAGTAATCAATATTCTAGATTCATATTGACTACACACACACACACACACACACACTTAAACTTCTACATATGAGAGAAAACATGTGTTTTTTTTTTTTTTAATATGTGGCATTTATCTTCCTGTATCTGGCTTATTTCATTTAACACAGTGGTCCACTCAATGTTATACAGTCATTAAAAAAAGAATTAAACCTTGACATTTGCAGCAAAATGAATGGAATTAAACTATATTTTAATGCTCAAAATGAAGATTTTGCCTCAAAATAGCACGTTTTCATGTCCCTCTAAACAGCAACATGCTTTGTTATTAATTTCTATAATTTAAGAAGAAAAATTAAAGGAGCTTTAGCTTTTCTGAGAAATATTCTTTTTTTCTTTGTCAGGCAGAGTTAAACAGTGAGAGAGAGACAGAGATAGAGTTATAGACAGTGAGAGAGACAGAGAGAAAGGTCTTCCTTCCATTGGTTCACCCCCCTAATGGCTGCTACAGCCAGCGCTGTGCCGATCCGAAGCCAGGAGCCAGGGGCTTCCTCCAGGTCTCCCATGTGGGTGCAGGGACCCAAGCACTTGAGCCATCCTCCACTGCTATCCCAGGCCACAGCACAGAGCTGGACTGGAAGAGGAGCAACTGGGACTAGAACCTGGGGTGCTGACACCGCAGGTAGAGGATTAGCCAAGTGAGCCACGGCGCTGGCCCTCTGAGAAATATTCTTAAAATCAGGGGCCAGCGCTGTGGCATAGTGGGTAAAGCCACCGCCTGCAATGCCGGTATCCCATATGGGCGCCAGTTTGAGTCCTGGCCACTCCACTTCCAATCCAGCTCTCTGCTATGGCCAGGGTAAGCAGCAGAAGATGGCTCAAGTCCTTGGGCCCCTGCACCCACATGGGAGACCTGGAGGAAGGTGCTGGCTCCTGGGTTTGGATGGGTGCAGCTCCAGCTGTTGTGGCTAATTCGGGAGTGAACCATCGGATGAAAGGCCTCTCTCTCTCTGCCTCTCAAATAAATAAATAAATTTTAAAGAAAAATCATGAGATTTTGAATTGTACAAGATGGTGACTATGGTTAATAACAATGTTTTATACTGCTGAAAATGACTAGGAAAATAGATTAAGATTTTTATTTATAAGATTGATTTTTAAGTGTTCTCACCCTCCCAAAAAAATAGTAGGTTCATATGTGAGGTAATACATATGCTAATTAACCCAATCTAGCCATTCCACAATGTATATCTATTTCAAAACATCATGCTATATGCAATAAATATAATTTTGTTGATTTAAAAATAAATTTTTCTTTAAAAATGCATCTGAACTGATGAACATGAGCAGAATGTTATTGCTGGAGAGAAGGGAAGGCATCCTTGAGAGTCCAGCTGGGGGAAGGCTAGTAACATGGTTGGGGTGTGAAATTTAAGGAGGCATTCACTGTCACGATAGTGAGTTCAGAGTCTGCTTACACGAACCTGAGAGTGAGCATCTCTCTAAATATTGCACCCCAGTTAATTGACTTGCCTCACTCTAGTCCTGGCCCTGGCATCCATAATAAAATTTGGCAACTGATGTAGAATATTCTCTTTCCTGTCCCAGGTACAAAGCCATTGTCCGGCCAATGGATATCCAGGCATCTCACGCCTTGATGAAGATCTGCCTCAAAGCTGCCTTGATATGGGTGGTGTCCATGCTGCTGGCCATCCCAGAGGCTGTGTTTTCCGACCTCCATCCCTTCCATGAGGAAAGCACCAACCAGACCTTCATTAGCTGTGCCCCGTATCCACACTCGAATGAGCTGCACCCCAAAATCCACTCCATGGCCTCTTTCTTGGTCTTCTACATCATCCCACTGTCAATCATCTCTGTCTATTACTACTTCATTGCCAAAAATTTGATCCAGAGTGCTTACAATCTTCCTGTGGAAGGGAATATCCATGTCAGGAAGCAGGTAGGTGCTCAGGGTCAAATTAATTTCCTCCCTCAGAGTTGGGTCTCTTGCATTTCTGTTGGATTCCACTGACGAGTACAGTATTTAGGTGCCCGTGTTACTTGATTCTGCAAGTAAAGGAGGTAGGTGAACCGTGGCCAGATGCTAAATGCAAACTCCTACTCATGGCAGCCTGAGAATTCAGATGTTCTTTATAATTTTATTCCCTTGTTAATTTATTCCTAGGAAGGTATTGAGAACCTGAAAAGTTTTGAGTGTGGGTTTCTTTCTGAGAAATATCTCAGAAAGTATGGTTGCTATTTTAATTTTAAAAAATAAAGCACTGATGCTCATAGGGATGTGACTTCTTTAAATTCCAAAGAGATTGGTTAGCAAAAGGAGGGTTACACATGGAGACAATGCAGAAGGGGTGGAAAAACAATGCCAGATGAAGAAAAAGAAGTAGTCTGATTAAGAGAGGCTTACACTAATCTGAGCTCAAGTCCAGGCTTCATGACTTACTCACTTGCCCTCTCTGAGCCCCCATTTTCTAATTTATGATATAAGTTAAAAGCCCCCACATTGTAAGGCTAGTAGAGGATTACAAGAGAGAGAGCAGGAGAGGAGAGGAGAGGAGAGCTAGCGAGCAAAATATACATATGTAAAGTTTGGACTTCAAGGCATGTAAAATGCCCTCTACAGATGTTAGACTCCCTCTCCCACCTTCCATAAGCCCCCATAATTGCATCCTGGAGGTACAAATGGTAGAAACTGGCAGCTCTGGCATTCCCATCTTTGCCGGTTCTTGCTTTCTAGCCCAGATGTAGATCGAGTGGTATTTATGATGAGAAAGGCAGAAAGACTTCCCCCCATCTCATTTAAACTCATCCTTTAGAGTTGTCCCTTCCTGCCTTAATCATTGGGGAAGAATGGCAGTCCTCAGTGAAACTGTCTCCATACTTGGAAGAATTCTCAGTGCCAAACATCTACAGCACTCCAAATTCTTCAATGAAAAACATGTTTCTCCTTAGGGTAGCAGAAGGAATTGGGAGCCAAAGGAGATGCTTATTCTACGCTTATCCTATTTCAATCAAAGAACCTTAGATTCTATTTGTACAATACAGTCAAGAAATAACTTTTGATTAACACATAATAATCATAACTATAATAATAATAAGTTGTCCTGGTTTGGCCAATGAAGAAAAACCAAGCTGGCTGCTTTGCTGAGTATCAGAAGGAATCAGCCATTCTTAACGTGGTGCAGAGGGAGCCATGAAGTTGCCTGGCTGATAAACTGCACCGATGCTCTCCTGAGGAAAAAGAGGGCACTTACTAGAATTTCATTGTGCAATCCATTCAAGCATGTAATCAACTTTGTTTAAAGATCTATTCTCAGCAGCATTTTCTAACTCTATTCTACCCCGTGGGTTTCTGCTTCCTGGCTCATCCATCTCTATGTTTCTCACCCTTTTTTCTCTCCTTTCCTGTGTTTCTGTTGCTCTTCTCTCATTTTATTGCAATCTCTCTTATCCTCTCTTACTTTCTTTTTCTGTGCTGTTGTGAACTCATCTGTTTCCCTGTTTTCCCCTGCCTCTTGCTGTCTGAATCTTTCTCTCTCTGCCTTCTGTGACACCGACCCTTGGTCCATCTGTCTGTCTCCGTGTGACTCTCTCCTTAGATCGAATCCCGGAAACGACTTGCCAAGACAGTCCTGGTGTTTGTGGGCCTCTTTGCCTTCTGCTGGCTCCCCAACCATGTCATCTACCTGTACCGCTCCTACCACTACTCTAAGGTGGATACTTCCATGCTCCACTTTGTCACCAGCATCTGTGCCCGCCTCTTGGCCTTCACCAACTCCTGTGTGAACCCCTTTGCCCTCTACCTGCTGAGCAAGAGTTTCAGGAAACAGTTCAACACCCAGCTCCTCTGTTGCCGGCCTGGCCTGATGACCCGATCCCACAGCACGGGCAGAAGTACCACTTGCATGACCTCCTTCAAGAGCACCAACCCCTCTGTGGCCACCTTCAGCCTTATCAACGGGAACATCTGCCATGAGGGGTATGTTTAGACTGACCCTTGACCTTGCCCTCCTTGGGACTCCTGATTTTGCCTTATTGCTGGTCAGGAACCCTCAAGTCTGTTTAAGTATACCTTCCAAAGATGCTTAACAAGGCTTATGAGTGGTGTAGGTAGCTGGGGGAGAGGCCCAAACGGATCGTTATTAGTTTCTAACTAAAGCCATTGAGGTTTACAGTTTTCCATTTCAACCTGTGACTGTTTCTTCTGATGTAAAGAAAACCTTTCATTTTCTAGAAAGGTAAGAAACAGGAAACTATTATTTTAAGTATCAAGCCCTGATATACAGGTAAGACCAATTAAATCATAGAAACTATATGAAGAGCCAGATTTAGATAGCAGAGAAATCATACACTGAGTGTCTACCTTGTGAAATACTTTACCTTGTCCTTTTCCTTCTTTAAGCAGAAGCTAGTAATTTAAATACATGCCTTGACTCCTTTTCTCAAGAACATCTATAATACACAAACCAAGGAGCAAGTTTTCTTGACACTCTTAACATGAATACTTAATCCTCCATGTATGAGGGACAGTCTCCAAACTGATAGGGCTGAAAGTCAGTTTAAAATAAAACAAACGCCTCAAATTTAGAAGATGTTACTGAGGACATAGGGGAAACACTCAATACATACTTTAAGGTCAAATACAAGCAAAAATTAAGATCCTTGTGTGGCTATGGAGTAGTATGTCTCCCTTTAAACTCTCACTGGATGGAAATCCTGATTGCTGTTATACAATTTTAATTGTCCATGGTGCAATTTTACCATAGAGAACTCTTGGGGAGAAAAAAAAAATCATACTATCAATTTGTGAAATATTTATACATGCTCAATATGAGTATACCATACATATATAAATATTTATACATGCTCAATACTCATTGAGTATTCAATACTTTCAATAGTATTCATAGCTTCAATACTCATTGAGCATGTATAAATATTTCTATATGTATGGTAGTTGTTTTTGGTATACACATTTTGCACCAAGTGCTTTTACTTCAACTTGGCTGTCTTAGTCTCAACATTCCTGCAGTTGTTTCAGTGTAAGAAGGAATCATATCTGTTTACATTTAACATGTGCTTCCCCCAAAGTTTGTGGGAGGGAATGAATACAATTTCAGTAACACATATTTCTGTCCCAATTACTCACAGGGAATTTGCAAAGGGCTTAACGTTATAAACTGATAGAAAAACACCCACACAGAATTTAAAAAATATCCCACAGAGCGAAAAAGACTGGACTGAAATCATTTTCTTACTTCAAGTGAGTAAAATTGGCTCTGAAAAGATTTGACCATCTTATTTTAAAAACCTTGAACCCGGTTTTTCTTTTCTTTTCTTTTTCTTTCTTTCTTTCTTTTTTTTTTTTTTTTTTTTGACAGGCAGAGTTAGACAGTGAGAGCGAGAGAGACAGAGAGAAAGATCTTCCCTCTGTTGGTTCACTCCCCAAATGGCCTCTACCACCAGAGCTACGCTGATCCGAAGCCAGGAGCCAGGTGCTTCTCCTGGTCTCCCATGCGGGTGCAGGGGCCCAAGCACTTGGGCCATCCTCCACTGCCTTCCTGGGCCACAGCAGAAAGCTGGACTGGAAGAGGAGCAACCGGGACAGAATCTGGTGCCCCAACTGGGACTAGAACCCGGTGTGCCGGCGCCGCAGAGGATTAGCCAAGTAAGCTGCAGCGCCGGCCCAAACCCAGTTTTTCTTGAGTTGAAGGCCAATTCTGACAGACTGCAAACATGTTAACCCACTTCAATAAATCTGAATGCTACAAATGTGCCGTAATGTGTATCCCTTTTAGCCTAAGACCATTTTAAGTCAATTTTTCTCCAGGTGAAACAGAAAAACTCAGCTCTCTTGCACATGGCACATATGAAAAGATTTTTGTCTCTTGATTCCAGGAAGTGCTGTCTACAGAGCTTCAGGAGTTAGCGCCAAAGCAGTTGTAAAGATCTGTGTTTACTGTTGTATTAGCTGGAGCTAAGCCTCTTTGCTTCTGCTTGCTACACACTCTTATGTATGCTGCACACCTGCTTTCCTGGTAGTCCATACTTACATTGCACAGTCTGAAAAGCCAGGCAAATAGTGTAGTCAAAGGAACCAAGGTTCCTCACTTGACATCCCAACTTTGCCTTTTGCTTTATTACCTTGGCTATCAATTTCCCTTCTCTAGACTCGCTTTTTTCATCTCCAGGATGAGAAGACAGCACTAACAGCCCCTTGATTGCTAAAATTCCCTGAGCTTCCTCATCAACTTTAGTTCCATCCCTAAAGCATTTATGTGGCCCATTTTCTCAGCTACCCACTTTTGCTACCTTTGCAACAACTTCTGCTGCCTTTGAAAATCTTTCACCCACTTTTCTATACTCATGTTCCTATGTGCGGCATGAAATGACATTAATTCTTCTGTTGCTTCTTTTGGAATAATTTTCGTGAATGATATTCCATGAGCTTGCTATGTTTGGGAATTACAGCTACAAGAGACATAGGAAAACATATTGCTCAATTTCCTCATTATACAAACAGTGCTCTCCCTATTTACCCTTCTTCAAACTCCAGACCCCTGTTATCTTGAGCTACTGTTCCACAAATTTGCCCTTGGCTTTCTTCAAAGCCCCTGAATGTAATTCTGCATAATCTTCCTCGAGCAGTTTGGGAGTAGGGCTCTTCAGGTCTGTTTCAGTTAACTTTGTGGCATAGTGGTCTGCTTCCAAGCTTCTGGACAAAGAGCCTGAGGTCTAGGTAGAGCTGTGTGTTCTCATGCAAATCTTGCTAGCTCTTTGAGATTCTAAATAGAAGAGCTGGAGGAGGCCTCCGCCCTGCCTTACTCAAACACTGGTGAAACTAGCTTGCAAATCAACTAATGGGTTGACTCAGGCCTCCTCACTAGAAAGGAGTTGGGGCACTGTTCTAGAAAAGTCAAATGTTTATTCCACCTCAGTAACCCAAAACCACGTGAGAGAGATGCAAGCCCCCTCGTGGGGTTGGAGCTGAGACATCTTATGCCTGGCTTCTAAAGATAATCACGTTTAGCGCTTATGTTTTTGGCAAGGGAAAAAAAATCAATTTTTGCTGTGGAAAACCATCTGTGTTTATTCAATTGACAGACACTACCTTTCAATCTATCTTAAATTGAGCCTCCCTGAGGCAGGCAGCTCAACAGTGATAGATTAAGCAATAAACAAAGCCGCCTTCCCACCAACGACTGCTGCTGGCAAGGAAGGTGCAGCTGCTGCTGGGAGTAATATTCCACAGCAAGATGATCCTCCCTGCAAAGCACAAGGCCCCTCCCTGGTGTAGATTTTATGATTCCCCATAAATGCAGGGGGCAAATCCTGTTCCTCTGGCGGCTCTACTTGCCCACTGAACCTGGCCTTCTGCCTCATTAACAAGCTCTGGATTTCCCTCTTCACCCCACAAACAATTTGGTTTCATCTTGGAGGATGGAGAACCCTGAGGTAAATAAACTGTTTAAAGGCTGCTGCAGATGAACCAAGCTCATGTTGCTATGAAAATGCACACTGAATAGAAATAAATGGACTTGACTGTAGCACATGGACACACTTGGGTTGTAAAGTCCTCCTTTATGCCAAAAGAAGCAGTTGGTTATTGGTTTCAGCCTCTTTTCCGCACATCAAATGGCCTCTGGCAATAGAGATTAGCTTTGTTTGGGGACTACACATTGAATGGCATCCTTATCTGTGGACTAAAGGCTGGCTAAATCACTTTTTTCCAGAAGTGAGACAGAAACAGTTGCCCTGGGAAGCTGACTATATGAGAGTTGAATAACATCCCTGTGTATCCCGGGGAGATGGGAGGGCTGTAAACTTGCCTGCCATTTCTGCCCTTCACACCCACACTAGGAGGGAGCTGTTGTTAGAGAGTAGATGATTAGTCCTGGGCTTCTGGGAGGCATGGAGCACATTTTGCAAATGTGTCTAATTTTCGGTTGCATTTTTATGAAGTGGATTAACAGCTGAAAACAAAGGAATCCTTCACTCCCGTGGAATCAAGCTTTGGGTGCGCTAATCAACGAAATGAAGCCTTCACAAGCTCAACTTCATTCTGTACCTAAATGGTCATTTCTCTCAGCCCCTACCTGGAACCCTTCCAACGACTTGATATCGAGTATTCTCTTTCTATAATTTTGACCTTCAAAGACATCCTTTGTTAGGTGAGGGGGGATGGGGACAAGCATTAACTGCAGCTGAATAAACCCAGAGCAATCAACGAACAGCACACTGACAACAGACTTCTCTTCTGTGAAACCTCATATTGGAAGTGTATTCAGTGTAATTCATCTACATTTTTTTTAAATTCAGTGTTGCACATATATTAAATTTAAGAGCCCTTGGGTTAGAGTATTGGGTGGCCATGATTAATTTTTAAAGTACTTTGCATTTACCAAGTGTTCATGGTCAATAAAGCACTTTTATAGTCATTACCTCATCTAATCCAAGCCTATCCTGCTGGCCAAAGAGCTGCTTTATATCCTCTATTATGGAAATTTAAAAATACTAAATTCACTTAACTAATGGCCATCTACCATTAGATTAAAAGGCCCATGGCACCATGAGGCTGAAACATGAAACTGTCAATATTGGATCATATATGACTTACACAAAGGCGATTTCATCTGGTTCAACTTAATCTGATTTCATTTTGTTCTGACATGAATTAACCATGGTTCATTCTCATGGTCTGTTCTGTGACACTGAAGAACAATGCCAATCATCACTTCCCCGGTTTGTAGGATATCCTGTTACCCCCAAAGTGAGTGTTTAACTTGGCACTAGGGAGTAAACAGGATCACTGAGCCCCAGGAGAGCCGTATTAGAGAGGACAACATTCCATGTCACAATGAAGGGGGAGGCTAAGACAAGAAGCCATGATCATGGGGAGCAAATCATAGGCCATGAATACACTGTTTTTGTCTAAAACCTGAATGTAGTCTTGTGGCCCTGGCAGTGCTGGGTAGGAAAGGCTGGGTTTCACCAATGATGTGCCAAATGCAGTGCTAAGCACATAAAGCCTTGGCTCAGACAATTACTTAGTGATCCTAAGATCACATAAGACAGCTGAATAGCAGAATGTAAATATGGACCTGGATCTCTCTTAAGTCCACGCGCATTTCACTGCTAAGCATGCCTTCCCAAATCCAACCTGTGTTGAGAAACAAAGTTCATAGCACCTAACAGAAAGCTTCATTCCTTTCTCTAGAATTTGTCCAAAATCTGAACGAGTGATGACGTCAAACAATTTTCCCAAAGAACATCAAAGCACACGAGTTAAGGACCTATTGAGGGCAGAGGCTAAGAGTGAGCGAGCACAGAGTGAGTGAGCAGGGAAGTCCCTTAGTTCCAGTTGCCTGCACCCTTATTCCTACCCCCATGCACAGACACAATTTAGCTGGAATTAGAAGCCCCAGGAAGAATTTCCCACTTGGTTCTGTAACTCATTGAAGAGAGAAAAAATTTGGTGAAAGACCAAGTCAGGTTTGGAAATTTATATTCATTAAATAAAAGTTAAAAAAAAAAAAGAAAAAAAAAAGACCAAGTCAGGGAGACAACCCAAGAGAGAACAGTCAATCTAGGCATCCTCCTTTTAATCAAGATTAGTCAGGGAAAAAAGTGTCAGGAAGAAATGGAACCATGTACACCTCCCACTTCTCTCACAAAATGGTAAGATATGATCATGGATGATTTCCTGGGGTCCTGGGGTCCAGGCTGCATGGGTAGACTCAAGTAGAAAAATATTTCCTGGACTAAGGGGTCAGGGAAGGAGCTAAAGTACAGACTTGGGGATCTGAGTGCATAGTCCTAGGTGCTCTGCTAAACACAGACATCACTGACTCTCTGCCCTCTCGGAACTCACACAATTCTAGAAAATACTATTTACTCCCTCCTCCCCCATTTAAAATTCACTCTCACAGTCATATAATGACATGAAAGGACTCTCATAATTTTATGATCTTTTAACAGAAACATTTTAACACACAGCAAAGCCTCATTCATCCAAGACCTCATTAGCTCCCAGACAAGCTGGACTATTTTGGTAGAACTCAGGACTTTCAACGTTTAAGGCACATTATATAATCTGGGCCTGTTGTGATTCCAAATTTTTTATCACTTTGTTTTGATTTTAGCTACTGACATTGACAACACACGTACAACATTAAGAAAGGAAGACTGATTTTCTTTAAAGTTTTTTTTCCGTAATCTGGACTTTATTGATTCAAGCATGATCATTTTTTTTGCATTCAGGTCAGCAGGGTTTTGGGTAATGAAATTTGTTGAAACAGTCAATTCAGGGAGTTGTAAAAAAGTACAAGGCACAAACTTTCATGTCATTTTATGTTTTGTTTTAAATATTACTCATATTTTGTAAATTGTAATTGTACTTGTTATTATTAACTATAAATATTTATTGCATTGAAAAATGTACTCTGTGTTAAATAACTCAGAACAAATTCCAGATTTGGTATTTAGAGTAAATAATGTCACGGCTTGACTCTGCCTAGACTCCTTGGACAAATGAATTATTTACTGGAAATTCACAATATTAATATGAATGATTTAGATCCTCTTAAAAGTTCAGACTCAACTGTGTGACCATGTGAAGCTCTATAAAGTGTGCTCTTTGATTGAATTTTATTTTTTCAAGAACTGCTTTCACTGCTTTTATCACATTGTATGTGATCTGTATGACATTAAGTCAAATCCAGTGTAATAAGCTGAATGTTCAAGTTGTAGAAGAGGTGAGTTTCATTCCTTAATATAATAAAGCATAACATATGAAATGGACAGATGCATGTATCCAATGTTCAATAAAAAATCACTGTTGCACAAATGCAGTCTGTGGCTGTGCGCCCCTCAGTTCCTTAATTCCTTGAACCACCTACCACAGAATCAGCCAGGCTGCTTGTTGCAAAATGCAGATTCCTTATTGACTTGGAACATCTAGAGGTGTGGCCAAAAAATCTGTGCTTTACAATAAGTACTCCAGGTGATTCCTCAGAACTAGAGTTTTATTCAAATTTTAAAACTGTGTATGTATTTACCTTTTGAATAAACCATTCTCATGGCTCAAAAATCAAAAGCATAAAAGTATCTGGTGAAGGGCCGGCGCCGCGGCTCACTAGGCTAATCCTCCGCCTAGCGGTGCCGGCACACCGGGTTCTAGTCCCGGTCGGGGCACCGGATTCTGTCCCGGTTGCCCCTCTTCCAGGCCAGCTCTCTGCTATGGCCAGGGAGTGCAGTGGAGGATGGCCCAAGTGCTTGGGCCCTGCACCCCATGGGAGACCAGGATAAGTACCTGGCTCCTGCCATCGGATCAGTGCGGTGCGCCGGCCGCAGCGTGCTGGCTGCAGCGGCCATTGGAGGGTGAACCAACAGCAAACTCTGCCTGTCAAAAAATAAAAAAAAATATTTAAAAAAAAAGTATCTGGTGAAAAGTTCCTCCAGTTGTCAGACCCACGCACTTTCCACTTCGAATGGGTGACTACTGTTACACTGCTATTACTTTCTTACATGCATATAGCACAACATTCAACATTTTTACACATACAAAAACAAACTCAAATATTTGTATTCCTGCATCCTACCACCCTTTTACGGAATGGTAACACATACTGTTTTGTCCTTCATTTACCTCACTACACACTGTATCTTGGAGATCTTTCCATATCAGTATATAAAGTGCTTCCCCATTCTTTCTTATACCTGCACACTATCCTGTAATTTGTTTACCCAGTGCCCCTTTGATAATCATTTCAGTTTCCAAAAATTTGCTATTATCACCCATGTTGCAATGAACAACACATATAATTTCATGCATCAGCAAGTACTGCTATAGGCAAAGTTTTTTTTTTTGTTTTTTTTTGTTTTGTTTTTTTTTTTTTTTTTGACAGGCAGAGTGGACAGTGAGAGAGACAGAGAGAAAGGTCTTCCTTTGCCGTTGGTTCACCCCCCAGTGGCCGCTGTGGCTGGTGCGCTGCGGCCGGTGCACCGCGCTGATCTGAAGCCAGGAGCCAGGTGCTTCTCCTGGTCTCCCATGCGGGTGCAGGGCCCAAGCACTTGGGCCATCCTCCACTGCACTCCCGGGCCACAGCAGAGGGCTGGACTGGAAGAGGAGCAACCAGGACAGAATCTGGCACCCAGACCGGGACTAGAACCCAGGGTGCCGGCGCCACAGGAGGAGGATTAGCCTATTGAGCCGCGGCACTGGCCAGCAAAGTTCTTAAATATAGGATTAGACACAAAGAATATATGCCCTTATAATTTTTATGAAAATTACTTGAGAGAGAAAGAGGGGTATATAGAGAACGCCCATCCTCTGAGTTCACTCCCCAAATGTCTACAACAGCAGGGTTGTTGGGGGCAGGTCTCCCACATGGGTGATAGGAATCCAAGTACTTGAGCTGTCACTGCCTCCCAGGGTCCACATTAACAAGAAGCTAATCAGGAGCCAGAGTTGAGAATCAATGGAGCCCAGTTACTCAGAATGGGATGCAGGAGTTTTAATCTAGGCTAAATGTTCCTGCCCTTATAATTTTGATGGTTATTTTTTAAAAAAGATTTATTTATTTATTTGAAAGTCAGGGTTACACAGAGAGAGAAGGAGGGAAGGAGAGAAGGGGAGAGAAAGGGAGGGAGGGAGGGAGAGAGAGAGAGGGAGAGAGAGAGAGAGAGAAAGGGAGAGAGGGAGAGAGGGGAGAGAGGGAGAGAGAGGGAGAGGGAGAGGGAGAGAGGGAGAGAGGGGAGAGAGGGAGAGAGAAGGAAAGAGAAAGGGAGAGGGAGAGGGGGAGAGAGGGGAGAGAGGGAGAGGGAGGGAGGGAGGGGGAGAGAGGGAGAGATGTCTTCCATCTGCTGGTTCACTCCCTAACTGGCTGCAACAGCTGGAGCTGCGCTGATCCAAAGCCAGTCTCCCATGCACGTGCAGGGGTCCAAGGACTTGGGCCATCTTCCACTGCTTTCCCAGGCCACAGCAGAGAGCTGGACTGGAATTGGAGCAACCGAGAATCGAAGCAGCGCCCACGTGGGTCGCTTGCACTGCAGGCGGAAGCTTCACACGTTATGCCACAGAGCTGGCCCCTTGATGGTTATTTTAAATTGTACTCCTTAGGACTCAAATACTAAAGCTTGAGAATCCTTGATTTCAGGATTATCTTAGACAAATCTAGCTGAAAGTTCCAGAAGTTTAGCCTATACACTTCTTGAAGTCTACTTTTCTTTCTTCCCATCTAGGACACTGCTTACTGTGAAGAAAAAAAGTAATAGATTCTAAGGTCAGATTTCTAAAAAGACTGAGGACAGTTGGCATTTAGCTCATGAATTGTTTTATTCATTCCTGCAGGGTCAATGGTTAGGAAGCAAATTCTTTCTTAGTCGCCATTCCCACTTACATGCACTTTGTGCAATAACTGAGTAGATGATCAAGTCTTTTAGAACATTTACAATATTAAAGCAGCATGAGAAATATCACCTAGTTGTGCATAAAGGAAATTGATGGCAAAGAAATGACACAGCTACAGCGGATGCAGATAGGCGTTGTCCAGCCTCCCTGTACCCTATGTGAGAAGAGGTAACACTAGGGGTATCTATGAAGTGCACTCAACAAATTCCTTGAGGTACATGCTGACAGCCATGGCAAGGGGGCCTCTGAGTGGGGCTATATACATCCATGATCTTGGGAGAAGGCCTTCTGCTCCCCAGATTTCTTACTACTTCCCCAACCATGCACCCCTCCCTGTTGATGTGTAGCATGTGGCATCCATGATTGAGTTGTAAATGCTTTCTAAAAGTGTCAACCCTTTAAATCACTGAAGGTGTTCATTCCTAATTGTGCCTTAAGTAGACCCTTATCTAGTTTGCCTGGACTAGATATGGAAGTGGATAGTCTAAAATCTTTGAGATACCCAGGCCATAAAAGGCCAATCCACGGGGCCAGCACTGTGGCGCAGTGGGTTAAAGCCCTAGTCTGCAGCACTGGCATTCCATATTGGTGCCAATCCAAGTCCTGGCTGCTCCACTTCCAATCCAGCTCTCTTCTACGGCCTGGGAAAGCAGCAGAAGATGGCCCAAGTCCTTAGGCCCCTGAACCTGCATGGGAGACCCGGAAGAAGTTCCTGGCTCCTGGTTCCATATCAGCTCAGCTTTGGCCATTGTGGTCATTTGGGGAGTGAACCAGTGGGTAGAAGATCTCTCTCTCTCTCTCTCTCTCTCTCTCTCTCTCTCTGGCTCTACCTCTCTCTCTAACTCTGTATTTCAAATAAATAAAATAAATATTTTTTAAAAAGAAGGCCAATCTGACATTTAAGTTTGGTCCATGTTAATTGTTCAGAGCACCACTGAAAGCCAGGTGATTTTCCCTATTAGAAAGTCTGGACTCTCTCTGTTAGCATGCTGCCTACCATGCCAGAAAAGAAAGCATTTTGATGCGCACACTGTAATACAGAAAACTTAATATTCTCTTAGAGGAATGGATTATTGGAAGTGGAAGATACTCCACAGAATTCCCACATATCTTCATTTCACAAATGAGGAAGTTAACAGAAAAGTCATGATTTGTTTCTACTCTCAGTTATCGCATGTACGAAAATGAAAGCTAATTGGCTTGGAGATGGCATGGATGAAGTGAGCAGGGACAGATCAGTCCCTTCTGCTAGAGATAAGGCAAATCCATGCAAGACTGTTATACCACACCAGGCAGAGAACCTTCGTGTTCACTGAGCTCAACGCTGATAAACAATGGATTCTAATGTAAGAGAGATGGATTAAGATCCTTTTTTCACTTTAAAAAATATTTATTAGAAAGGCACAGTGACAGAGTGAAAGGGGGAGAGAGATGGAGAGAAAGAGAGAGAAATAGCTTCCATCTCCTGGTTACTCTCCAAATGCCTGCAACAACTAAGGCTGGGCCACGAGCCAAGAACTCCACATGGGAGTTAGTAACTCAAGTATTTGGGCCAATACCCCATTGCTCATAAGCACATTAACAGGAAGCTGGTTTGGAAGCAGAGGAGCCAGCACTGGATCCCAGGCCCTCCAATGTAAGATGCAGATGTCCCAAGCAGCAGCTAAGATCGCTGCACCACAACACCTGCCCCTTAGACAACATCTCATCAATAAAATGACACAAAAAAGGAGGACTTCAGTCCCTTGAATATGGACTCAATCATGTTATGTTATCAAACCAGACTCCTAAAAGCACATTTCCCTTCCTAGAGCTGAGGTCAGGGAAGTCAAACACTTTGCCCCAGATCACACGTTAACTTTGAGTTCTCTTCATTGTGTTTCCAAGTGTCCCTTCCTACCTCCCCATGGTAGACCAACACCTGCTGTGCCACTCAGAGGGAAGGGATTTTGTGTGACTCACCAGTATGCTCTTTGCTAGAGCAGTCCATGTTGGTGTGTCCACTCCTGTAACATGATCCAGGACATTACTACTTAAACTATGGTCTGGGAACCAGCAGCACTTAGCATCACCTAGGAGATGCTAAACATGTAGACTGTTATGCCCCACCTCAGACCTACTGCATCAGAGTCAGATTTATAACAGATCCTCAAGTGGTTCTTCTGCATATTGAATTTGTGAGGTCATCATTTGCAGTGAAGAAATCCATAATGGTCCTAGTACCTTATGCCATCTACTGGTTTCAACATATTTCCCAACCCATTCTCAGTTGAGTACCCTCAACTTCCTTCTCTGATGTGGTCTTGTTCACTACCTTCACCATTTGGACCGGACTGAGTGGCAAGGTCCCCCAATGTCCCTTCTCTTTAAGAACTGTCAGTACATGAGTTCAGGACATCAGCCCTGCAGAACTGCTCACCCTGACCTGCTCAGAGTCAT